AGACAAAATATAAAAGGAAATAAAAAAATTCAAAAATAAAACCAAACATACTTATTTTTGTTAATAAAATTCTATGGCACACAATGTTGTCTAATTATGTAAATTTTCAATCGGTACTAATTGTGCAGTATAGTTGTGGAGCAATTTGATTGTACTGAAAATAAATAAATAAAAATCAGCTCATAAGACTATTTCCAACCATTCATCAAATCCATCATTAAATTCAAATTTGGTGAAAAAGTTCTACTTTTTGTGCTTCAACAGTTTCACCAAAATGATATCAAATTGAGAACGCCTCAAACTTTTCACCAAATTGAAGATCTCTAGCTCCTTTCACCAATTTACTGTGTATAGCCGTTGAGTGTAGACCCACCGGACGACCACCCGGACGTCTAGCCAGATGTCCTACCGGATGACCACTTCAAGCAAAATTTTGTGAAAATTTTACACTAAGAGGTTGACCACATTTGTATCTTTTTCTTAATCTTTTCCTCATTCTGTTTCTTGCTTGCTTTCTTCCCCAGTGTTTCACCTCCAAAAGCAGCAGCCTCTGGCTTTAAAGGCAAACATCTAAGCAAACATTCTGTTTCTTGCTTACATTTATTCAATCTAACATATTAAGATCCATGACATGAATTATCACGAGAACACATACATATGAAGTAGTGATGAGAGCTTTCTCATGGAAGGGAAAAAAAAATTTTAGTGCCTTGTCCGATCGACCGGTCAATCGTCCTGCCAGACGTCCCCGCCCTTTTGATGCAAGCTACAGTGCACCTGTTGGAACAACTCGTATCAGATTGAGGAAATCGTCATTTTTTTACTCAGATTTGATTAAAAAAATACTGAACCGTTAGAGATGCTCTAAGTCATCCAACACAGATAAATACGTTATCTAATATAACTAGGGTTCCAAATACAAGTTTTCTTGAATTGTGCAATCTCTTTGCCAATCTTAAAGCGCCAATTTACTTGGAATGTAGGAGCTCCTACATCCTAGGTTTAGGAAAACTTTTTAATTTTCTTATTATGGGATGGTTTGGGAAGCTGGTTACTTTAGTTGATTTTTTAACTTTTTGATTATTTCAGCCCAACTAAAAAAGTTTTGTTTGGAATAATAGTTGATTTTTTTTTTAATTGATTTAATGGTTGTGAGAGAAAAAGTGAAATGATTATGATTTAGATGTGACATTTGTCTTATTAACTATTATAGTCTATTTTGCCTTTATTGACTATTTTAGACTAAACCTAAGTTGTCAAACACCCCCTAATATTTTAGGATAATTCTTTTTTGAGTAATGCTAGAAACTCACAATTTAGAGAGTTCTGATCCTCTGCCGGCCATTTTGGCTACAATTCAAAATTTTTAAATTCCCCCCCCCCATGTTTCTCCTTATTTTCCTTTCGCTCTCTCATTGTCATGCCCCGACCCTTTATACGTCATCGATATTGTCCGCTTTGGGCCACGCCCGCACGGATTTGTTCTTCCCAGTGAGTCACCCATCCTAGAACTACTCCAGCCTAAGCACGCTTAACTGGGAAGTTCTAATAGGGATTTCACAACCTGGGAAAAGGTCTCGATGCTATATAAGGGTCTAGGTTTTTACACCCCCTCTATTCCCGATGTGGGACACCGGGGCCTTACACTCATTCCATTGAATCCTAACCTGTTAAACACATTGTAGTGAAAATCAGACAACACAGAGCAATGGTGAAGGGAGGCGACGACAAACAGAGGTTGATGAGGCAACGGCAAACCGCCGATGCTAGGAGACGGCTATGAAATCTAGGCGACGACAAACAGAGGTTGACCTCTCTCTCATTTCCTCCTCTTTCTCTCCTTCTTTTTTCCCCTTCTTGCATATCTAGGTTTCTTTAATTTTGTTTGGTTTGCTTTCAATCTCTAACATTTGTATGCATATAATGTGTTTGGGAAACCCAAGAAATCATATATATGGAAATACCATATGAGAATGAAGATAGAAGAGGAGACCTCACCGCCACTTCATCTCGCCTTGCTATAGTTGTCATCGTCGCCAAAGTCACCGTCGCCCACCCTTTTCTACACTGGAGTTGTTTGAGTTCGCCTCTTTCTTAAGGGTTAGGGCTGTCTCAACGATTTAGGGAGAAAGGAAAATGAGGGGGGAAATGGAAAAAAAAAATAAAAATAAATTGAATTTAGGTCCAAAACGACGTCGTTTTCGCTACCTACAGGGTAGCCCGACAAAGGATTTGAACTTCAATTTAAATCTCTAAAATTATCCACAATGATGTGGCAAGAGATCTATGTCATATACAATTGAGTATATGATAGATGTATCAGGCCACATCATTGTGAATAAAATTGTAAAAGATCTTTTGTGAGTTTTAAACATTTTCTTTCTTTTTTTAGGAGTGTTTAAGAATTAATTTTTTTTAGTAATTTTTATACTTTTTACAAAAATACGTATAAAAGTAAGGAGAATAATTTGATAAATTACAGCAATTTTTATACTTTTTAGGTAAAAATTAAAGTTCTCAAACAAGACTTTAATGTTTAAAAAAAATTACACTAATTCATATAATTATGACATTTATGCTTATTGTGATTTTAATTTATATGATATATTTTAGAGTAAATTAAACTGTGAGGTTTAAAAAAATACAATGAGTTCTACAATTTTGATATAATTAATTGATTTTTTTTTGTAAGGTTAAATGAATCGAGACTAATACAGATGGTGCGAAAATATAAAAAATACACAACGTAAAGTATATATTTTTATGTAAAAAATATAACAACATAATATTTTCCTTCAAATAACTAATAAATTATTGATTAAAAAGGAGTTGAATGTTATATGAATTAAAATTTTAAGAAATCTTAATGTAATTATGTCAAAATTATTTAACTTAATTATTTTTTTTAAATTTTAATAAGGAGATATTACTACTTGGTCCTACTTTATCAACTTATTATCCATTAGGTTTCGGAGATTTTTCATATACACCAAAGTCTTTAAATGCCTTTATGCCCTCATTAAATACCTTCTCTCTTTATTCTCTCTCTCCCTCTCCTTCTCCCTCTCCCTCTCTTCTCTCATCTTTCTATCATTTTTAAAACTTCACACCACCACCATACATCACCACCATCATGATCTACCGCCTGCCGCCACTGCAACCGCTCACACCACTGCCATTGTTGCCTATCCGCCATTGCCGCCACCACCTCATTGTTCGATTTTCATCATTGTTCACCAAAGATTTCCATCAAACAGAACATTAAGGGTGTGTTTGGTAACGTTTACGTTTTCAGTTTATATTTACAAAAATTTTATAAACTAATTTTTGTTTATTTTTAGAAAAACATAAACTACAAACGCGTTTGGTACTTGACAAAATGTTTAAAAAAAATTAAAATATAAAAAAGAGTGAGAAATGGTGAGTGGTGGCAAGTGGCGGCGGAAGACGGTGGTGGAAAGTGGTGACGGTGGGTGGTGGGTAGCTCGTGGTGGTGGGTGGTGGGTTTTGGTGGTAGTGGTGGGTGGATGGGTGGGTGACGGTGGTGGGTGATGGTAGCGGGTGGTGGGTGGTGGTGGCAGGTGGGTGGCGGAGGTGGTGGCAGGTGGGTGGTAAGTGGTGGTGGCAAGTAGGTGGTGGTGGTAGGCGGTGGATGGTAGTGGCGAGTGGTGGGTGGTGGCGGGTGGATGGCAAGTAGGTGGTGGGTGGCGGTGGTGGTGGGGGTGGGTGGATGACGGTGGCGGGTGGGGGGTGGTAACGAGTGGTGGATGGTGGTGGCAGGTGGGTAGTAGATGGCTGGTGGTGGTGGGTGGGTGGGTGGGTGACGGTGGCGGGTGGTGGTGGTGGTGGTGGTGGTGGCGGTGGCGGGTGGTGGTGGCAGGTGGGTGGCGATGACAAGTGGTGGTGGTAGTGGCGGGTAGGTGGCGGATGGTGGTAGTGGTGGGTGGTGCCGGTGGTGGGTGGTGGGTGGTAGGTGGTAACGAGTGGGTGATGGTGGTGGTGGTGGTGGTGGTGGTTGCGGGTGGTGGGTGGTGTGTGACAGGTGAGTGGCAATGGCTGGTGGTAGCAGGTGGTGGTAGCAGGTGGTAGGTGGGTGGTGAGTGGTGGTGGCAAGTAGGTGGTAGTGGCAGGCGGTGGATGGTAGTGGCGAGTGGTGGGTATGGCGGGTGGATGGCAGGTGGGTGGTGGGTAGTGGTGGTGGTGGTGGGGTGAGTGGTGGTGGTGCGGCGGAAGACGGTGGTGGAAAATGGTGGCGGGTGGTGGCTAGTGTTGGGTGGTAAAAAAAAAAAACACTGACAAAACTCAAAATGGAAACACATTTTTTGTGTTTTCATTTTTTGGCCAAATTTATAAACTGATACCACTGATTTATAAATCAAAAATTTTACCAAACAAATTTTTATTTGAATTTTTTAAATTTTTATAAATATAAACAGAAAACTGAAAACGTAAGTGTTACCAAACGACACCTAAGGATTTTTTAAATTTTTTTTTTTATAGATAACTGGGGTGTGCGGATCAACTTAAACGCATCTCAACTAATCCCGAGACTCTGAAGTAACAATCGAACAAACCTCTAGTGGCTCTAAGGTTTGAGATGTTTGGCTTTCGAACTTGCAACCTCTTGAATCATAAGCCCTTTGGTTGCTTTCTCCTTACACTAAGCCAAACCCTTAGGTTATTACAGATTGTTACTTATGATATTAGAACCTGCCCATCCACATGATTGCGATATAATTGCACAGTAAAAGCATCAAGGGTCATTTTCTGCCGTGGGCAATGAATGGAGGGAAACAATCATATACTAAAAGAGAAGACAAGCCAAATACACTGAAAGGAACAAAAAAATGAGAGCAATGACACAATTGTATGAACTAGCCATCACCAACATGCTACTGTCACATTCAGATTTTTTTTTATTATTTATTTATTTTTTATTTTTTTTCCACAACAAAAAAGTTAGGAAACAAGACAGACAAAAACAAATAAACAAACAAGAATGGCACAATCTCATACTCATTATTGGCTCTGCCTTGTCTATCAACTACATTTCAGCTAAATGAAGAGCATGTACATACACAATGGTGCAAGCAAATTATATTATGGAACAACAATCAGCTACAACACAACTGATTCAGACCCTAGGAAAGCTAATCACATGCTGTAGTTGCAGTCTATATGTATTACACACACACACCCTCGAAAAACCCAATACAATACGTGACTAACAAGCTAAAAAAAACACAGATTTCTAGATGCTAACAACACTAGATTATACATCTAATTACAAGAAAATGGCTGTGTGAGGACATTACATTAGTTCACAACGATTCTAGCAGGAAGGGGAATTCCTGGTGCTTGCTCCTTTGAAAAAAGGCCCTCACATGTAACAAGTTTCACAGCACAAGGAGTTGTGAGGTTGTACCTTTTTTGAGCTTCTATAAACCCACTACCAAGAACCTGCTCGATCCAATCGTTGACTTTATTGTTTTCTGATAGACATGAGGCTGCAAGAATCTGCTCCATGACTTTTGAATCGATCTCCAACGAACAGTCTGAGCCAACAATCTTATGGAAGCACTCACTAATCTCCTTTGATATTTTCTCTGCAAGTTTATCGAAATCAAATGGCTTGAAAACTACCGTTTCATCCACTAATTCAACAAAGTCCTCTAACCAAACCTTGAAGTTTTCGGACCCACATTCAGTGTTGTGAATTTCAATCTCCTCAGCAGGGAGATTCAAGTCCAGATGCATGTTTGATGCCTTGTGAGCCCGTTTTGCCATTTCTGAAGTTTCACTCTCTTCTATGATTTCACTGGTACCAATTGACTTTCTTTTATTCAAAATGACTGGGCTTGAGATGAATTTCCTTGTGTTATTGTTGATGACACCATTCCCAAGAGCATAATTAATTACCATCTGAATTGCCCATCCCTTTGCTCTTAATATACTTTCCTCAGAATAGTTTCCAGTTTCCTCTGCAGAAGAGAGAAATTTATCGCCTTTTGTGAATCTTGAGGTTGTCACAAAGACCGTGTTATGGATAACTACTTCTCTTCTATATGAGTCCAAAAATCTTCCAGTCCTCCTGGCTTGTGATAAGCTATTCTGAGTGATCACATCGGCCTTGTCAATATTTTCAAGGAACACAACAGACAACGGTTTCTTGCTCAATTCCCCTACAACATAATCAACCACAGTTTTTCCTCTGAACTTCACATCATAACCATTCAATTCTTGGGAACTTAGATCCACAGAGATAAAGTTTCCCCTATTTCCGTATAATATCTCAACGAGGGAAGACGCAATTCTCCTCTTACTGAAGCTATCAGGTCCAAGGAAAGTGAACCATATATCTCCTCTCACAGTTGCACCAAAGCGCTTTTCATTTCTTGTCCTGCAACGAGCTATTGCTTGGCTAATAGCACTTACCGCTTCCTCTTGCCAGCTGATCCTTTCACTCAGCGCCCTATACAGCATCTTGAAATCCCTCTGATCAAACTGCCTGTCAAAAACAAGACAAGAGCCCGATGAAGATTGAGCTGGATGGTTGAAGGTACTCACAGTTGCCAAATCAAGATCTGTAGTCTGATTTGTGGGTTTCTTCGGTTCCCTAATTGTAGATGCAGAGTATGTTCCCAAACCTAAATCTGTAGTCACGGATGTAGCAGAATGTGGAGATGTATGAGCATCACCGACACTAGAATTGGACAAACTCAAAGGAGACCCGAGCCCGACTAGCTCAAGATCTTCAGATTCTGAAGTTTTTTCCCTCGGTTTGGATAAGAAATTTGAATCCATATCCTTTGAAACTCCGGGAAGTGGAATGCTCAGTTGTGATCTACAAATTTGTTGTTGTATATCCATTGACGTGCATGAAGTAACCTTTCTGCATCCACTTGCATTTGAAGATGCATTTGTCTCGTTGCTACTCTGGTTATCGGCATTTTCTTTCTTGTCACCACCAACTCGATATCCCACAACAGATGAAACTTGAGAACCCACTTGATAAGTATTTGTCTTTGTCAGTTGTTCAGAATGATGAAGACGCTGGCAGATATTGTCCCATTTCCTTTGCAGCCCTTTAACTTTAGCACTCAACGTCAAACCATCATCTTTGGCCTGCACTGAAAAGATTAAAACTGGTTTTTACATGAGTATCAAAACTTCTTTTTACTTAGTACATCCTATATTTTTGCTGTAAAATTTATGGTTACCAACAAAAAGTTTATTCACTAAAAACTCACTGCACTAGATCCAATCACATGGGTTTCTATAACATTTACACAAAATTATAATTTAAAATGGTGCTGATGGGTGGACAATAAGGTTTGCAGCATTCACCCAATCATGCCTTTGTCTGTGTGTGTGTGTGTGTGTGTGTGTGTGTGTATATGTCCTTTAAAGAGAGGCCATAGCCTTATATCACACAGTGATAATACCCACTTTAGGAGGTTTAAGCAATCCTATAGTTGACATTTTATTTGAAAATCTTGAAATATTTCCTCACTTCGCTCAGCACTCATTGATAGGACATCATATAACCAACAAATGAAAGCACATATCCATTGGGTGACCAAAAAGAAAAATCAAAACAACAGTTTTACCCACACCTTCAAAATCCAATCCCCTGTTTGTGCTGAGTTCAGTCATCTGCAACCAAGAAGGTAAGCTAGATTGGTTCTGTTCTGCAACTGAAGCAGTGAATCCTCCCTTTGCAACGGCAGATACTTCTTGTTCGCACTTTTCATTGCAGAGATGACAGCGGGATAGACATTGGTATGAGCCACCTAATGGGCTCTTCAAATCAGCAGATGTAGAAAAGAACCCACCAAATGGAACAAAGGACTCCATCAAGCTGCAAGTATATCATGAACATTGAACTATGAGATCAAGTTGGCAAAAATAATGAAAGAAAAACTTTTACAAAATTGAACACTCAATAAACAAAATAAAAGAGAGAACAAGTCAAACAACAGAGTAAAACACATCCAAGAACATTTTGGTATTTTTCCAAAACCTAATGAGGAAAATGGAAAACATAATGATGGTTACAAATGGTAAACAGAAATGAACTTTTTCTCCACTACGTAAAATGCTTGTTTTAAACAAAAGAATTAGGATAGTTGTCTTGAGAAATTCTCAAGGGAAGAAGATGTAATCTGACCACTCCAAGTCCAAGCGTGCCACGTACGCATACGCAACTTCAACTAACAAATGTATGAGAGATGAATAGATGGAAGCATTTATCTGAGGCACGCCATTATGAGCAGTACCTAAAAGTAAAATTCCACCTTCTGCAGAGAGATGCCAACGGGAATGTTGAGCAAATTACAAAATAATGAAAGTATTTGAGTAGGTAGGAACTAGGCATCCAGTTTAGACAGTGAGAGATGTCTTGCTTAGAGAGAGATGGTGCAATGGATGTGCATATCCTTATTAAATAGTAAAAGCTTAGGTTCGGGGATGTGTGTATTTATAGCCCACTGTTCTTCTTTCGTATTCTTAAGAGATTACTACAACTTATATGAGTGCAAGTGTTTTGGTAGCACGTACTGCATTAGATTTAGTGGCACATGCATTGCTCTAGGCGTGGAGCTGATATGTTCGTGTGTTCAAGACACATTTAGTGAACATTAGGAATACATGTGAGATTGGATAGACAAGGTTGAAGACCAAAACTACGAAACTGATCTGGACTGAGTAGATAGGATCTTGTGTCTCAATCTTGCAAGTGTAGTTGATCTTTGACAACTAGTAGGGTTCATATTTTTCTTCCCAAATTTGAATTATCCACATAAAATCCTGTCTTTCTCTTGTAATTACTCTCTACATGATTCTACATGTGTGCTAATTGGATAATGAACTTAGAATTAAACTAATTAAACCAGTTTGGATTAAGAGATTCATGTTCAAATTATCTTTGAGCAAAGAACTACAAAGACTGCTTTGCACTGAAACTGAAATTTTATTTTTAAAAACCTGCCACAGAACCCCTGAGTTTCACCTCAAATGAACAAAACTAACGTCAAAATCTGTGTCAAGAAGTTTGTTGTGGTAATAATTCAAGTTAAATTGACCTAAAATGATCCAAAGATACCACAAATCTCATCTCCGTGCGTTTTAATATTTAATACCCTACAAAATTACAGTTCAGAGAAGAGATCAAGAACTCTTGGACTGCATAGCTAATTCAATATAAATATACAATATCAATTTCATACATAGAAAGAAGAGTACGCAAGGTAAAAATGAATGATAAAAAGCTGAATTAACAACACACAGTAGGAAAGTGGGTACTCACCTTGATCTAGGGTATGACTCTGCCATGTTAGGCCTAAGAGAAGTGATGGGTAAGAGCTGCAAATCCCAATCTTTCTCAACAGATGGAAATCTATTCAAAAACTTCAAATATGTCTCATAAGTCCCTGCAGCCCCAATCAACCACACCTTTCCTCCATGAACATCCAATAACCTCGTCAATTCTCTTACAACGCAGCTCGCAGCAACAGAAACCACCGAGTCATCGTCCCCGATCAACACCTTCAAATCACCATAACTGATAACCACACCAGGTCCAATACAATGTTCCACCAATTCACCCACTTCCCCAAACTTCAATTTCACCAAATCCTGATTACAATTCTCATTGACAAGCTTGGAAACATCATTTTCGATGCGAATCACACTCAACCCGTAAATTTCCACTGGCAAAACACACCCTCCTTTTCTTCTCTCAACAAGTTCACAGAAACTCCGAAGGGAATCAGTGGCGGAAACACCGATAAGAAGCGGATTTCGACCCTTGTTCTTCACCAAAACGTCCCCAATTCTCTTAGAATTGTCATCGGAACCGTTCGAAATCCCGGGAAAACCCAAGAATGGGAAACTAAAACCCCTGCGATTCAAGTCCTTATCAGCAGTCAAATTGCAGAGAAACATAGGGGGTGCCCTGAATCGCGAATACCTGAGAAGTTGATGAACAGGTCGAAGAATAGCTAATTTGATATCACAGCTTCGAAACCCAGCTTCACCAAAGACTCTACTCACAACTGGGTCATCAAGAATCGAGAGAATCAGATTCTGAAGCTCAACTTTCACCATCGAAACCGACGAAGAAGACGACGTCGTTTGCTGCTGAATCTGCTGTTGCTGGTACAAATGAAAGCTCTCGGGTTGTCTTCTCTGGTTCGCCTGAGACCTCTTGATCGCCGCCATGAGGGAGTTCGAAACCGGCGGCTCCTCCGCCGCCCTCTGCGGCGGCGAAGAGGGAAGTCGGTCCAGAGAGACACCTAAACAGAGCTCGAGAGCTTTGAACTGAATTCGAGCGGAGTACGCGCTGTTTCGCGCTCGACCGCACGACTCGCGTAAGGCGGAGGAAGGAAGAGAGAGGAGGGCGGAGACAGCGTGGAGCGACGTTGTTTGGGCGTGGGCGCGGCGGCGCGCGACGGAGACCGCTTCGTCGAGGGCGTGAGCCGCTTCCGGAGTCAAGCATTGCCTGGCGGCGCTAACCGGCGTCGGCATCGCCGGCTAACATAAAAATAGGATGAAAAATGATTTCCTGATTATGCTAATAAAAAATTGGAGATGGGTAAGAGTTTGTGTGTGTGTGTGTGTGTGTGTGTGGATTTATGTGTGTACTTATGAAATGGGTTTTTGATTATTTATTGGAGATGAGAGAGAAGGGAAGGAGGAGAAGGAGGGGGCATTGTTGGTGGTGGAGGTGGAGGTGGAGGTGGTGGTGCTGCTGTTTGGTGGTGGTGGTGATGGTGGAGGGAGATGATGGTGATGGTGATGGGTGTTGAGAGGTGTGGGGTCCATGCTTGGGGGCATTTGAAGGAACAAGAAACTGGGTTGGGGACGAGATAGAGAGATGCTGTGTCCACTTGGGTTTATTTTGGTCATTAAAAAAAAAAATTATTAATTAATTTACTTATTTAAGCTTATTTTTTAAAAGTATGTTAAAAGTTATTTTTAATTTTTTATAAAAAAAAAAGTGTAAAAAAACATAAAGAGATAATCACAATGTTTGGTTTTTGTTTTTGAATCTATTTTTCTAAAAATTGAGTTTTTTTATTTTTAGTGAATATTTTTAAAATTTTAAACAATTTTTTTACTTTGTTAGAGTATCAGCATCAGTATCTTTAAATTAACAAAAAGTTAAAATATAAATAACAAATCATCAAATCCTTCCTCTATCAGTCTCAGCAATTTTTTGTTAAATTTGCTACAGTAACTCGTCTGATGAAGCGAGGAACTGTTCATCGCTACAACACGCGATTTGGATGTAACTGGACGTCCGGCCGAAAGTCGAGCCGAACGTCCGGCCGGTCAACCCGCCGGTCAACGCCAATTTTTTATTTATTTATTTATTTTTTTTACATTTCCTCCAATTTTATCTTATGTAAAACATAAGAATTGTTTGATTGATAGGTCATCAATTTAATTATAAAAAAAAAGAATAACAAATATTTTAATAGGATTGAGTTAAAATAGAGAGTTTGATACAGTGGGTGACTAGCTAAAATATGAAAATGACTTTTTCAGTTATAATTTGACTCAAAATTCACTGAGGCTGATGCGGATGTTCTTAGATGTACCTTAATTACATGTATCTAAATAGCAAAAAATTAGTAAAAAAATATTTTAAAAAATTAATAAATATGTAAAATACGAAATATGTACTAAATTTTTAATTTTTTTTAATATTTTTGGTATTTAACGAGTTTTTTAAAGATTTTTTTTATAAATATTATACTTTTTAAGTGTATTTATGTTAAGTTGTCTAAAAAATAAAAAAATTACTTAAAATATTAAAAAAATTTAATAAAAATAAAAAAATAAAATTTTCTAAAAAGCGAAATCAAACAAAATGATTTAAAAAAACTAAATACTAATTTTTAACCGTGTTTCCAAAGTAATCATCTATTATTTTTTTTATTTATTTTTATTTTTATTGATATTTTACCTAATTCTCAAAATAAGCGAAACTCTCAGTGGAACAACAATGACACTGAAAATGAGCTATTTTTAGAAGGAACAGAGAAACAGTTAATCTTGATAGTACTGCCATATAAGTTGAGTTAACTCAGAACTGAATATTACAGTATTGCCACCACTTTTGGGGTTGATTAACAAAGTTTTTTTTTTTGTTAATTAATTAGAGATCATTTATATATTTCATGATTATTCAAGAAGACTCACAATCACAAGTAAGGGTGCAAATAAACAAAACCGTTTGAGAATAGGCTTGAGCTCTGTACAGGAAGGAAATAAATCTTTTCGTATAATCCTGTTGATCAAGTCTGCGCTTTTCCGTACGACGTCGCCTTATCTCCTGAAAACACAAACGTGAGTTAGCCGGCGGGTGTGTGCCGAAAACCTCTCCGATGCCTAAGTCAGCAAACCTGACAAATAGATAAAGCTTTGTGAATTCAGAAAGCAAAGTTGTGTATTACCTCTCCCAAGGTGATGTTTATGAGCTTTTATAGGTTTCGCGTGGCACAATCCTAGTAGGACTTCTACTCCTCCATGTAGAGTCCTCCTAGGATTCATACTCCTGAAAGATAATGCTTATCCTTCAACACCCCCTCACTGCTTAAACCAAGTGAGATGGTTTTTACCATGGCCGAACTACCACATAACTCAAATAACACTGGCTATGCTGAGCCGCAGAGTAGGCCGAACTATCCTTAGTTCGGTTCTTTCTCTTCCACTCCCTATCTCGGTTCTTTCATGTACAAACCATGATATGTTCAAACCGAGCTACCGAGTAGCAAAGTTTTGATCGTTCTAACCATAATACGTCATGACCGGACTAACTTTGAGACCGGCCTAACTCCAAGTTGCTTCCGGACCGGAGTAACTTTATCTTTCTTGGGCCGGAGTAACTTTATCTTTCTTGGGCCGGAGTAACTTTATCTCTCTTGGGCCGGAGTAACTTTTTGGCCTTTTTACCCAGTCCTTCATACTTTGGGCCATAAAGTCCATCTTATAGCTCGGCCCAATTTTTACCAAAAATTACCCTCTCAAGCTCAATTCGATAAGAGCTCGTTCAAATTTGGTTTATTAAATTTTTTTTATTTAAATTTTTAATAAACAAGTCTAAACATTCTAAAGTTTGACTCATAAGCTCGGCTCGTTAGCTGGCTTGTTTAATATTTATTATTTATAAATTAAATAATATAAAAATACGTATAAAAAATAAGATAAATATGTTATTTATATATTTAAAAAATATAGATGTAAATAATAGGTAACTATAGATAGTACATTTACATAATAGTGGTAGTAAATATTATTATTTTGATAAAATATTATCTTTTTTTAAAATGTTGATATATATTGTATATATAATTGTATAATCAAAGTTTTAATTGTGACTTTAGTCTCAGACGCAAGTATGAATTTATAAATTTTTTAGCTCGTTAAGGCTCGTGAACAAGCTTGAGCTTGAGTCAAACCTAAGCCAATTCGGCTCGAGTTCAGTTCGTTAAATTTTTATTAAACTCGAGTTCAAATTTAAGTTCGTTAAAATCTTAATAAACAAATCTAAACATATTAAAACTCGATTTGACTTGTTTACCGCCCTAATCACAAGTTCGATAATTACAATAATCACAAAGTCTGATTTTACATAGAGTCAAACATTAAAATCTCAACATCAAGATAACAATAAGGCTTCCTTTAAAATTAGGGCAAATTACATATACACCCCTCCAGGTTTGACAAAATTACAGATACCCCCCTGAGGTTTGAGAAATTACGAATTCCCCCCTGAATGCTATATTTGCATAAGAAATTAGGGGGTAATTTGTTATGAAATATAAACCTCAGGGGGTAAATTGTTATGAAAATACAAACCTCAGGGGGCGGGATGTAATTTCCGAAACCTCAGGGGGGTATCTGTAATTTTGTCAAACCTGGAGGGGTGTATATGTAATTTGCCCTTAAAATTAATCAAAAAGTTTTTTTGCTACATAATTAATTAAAAAGTAAGTTTAATAGTTAAAAATAAACTTATAAAAAAACCTAATCTTAAAAAAATTATTTTATTTGACAAACTGTGAGAGTTTTTGCAATCTAATTTTTTTTGGAAATGTTTGGTAGCTCAAAATTTTGTGACTCAAATGGCTTAAATTTGTCAAAACGACGCCGTTTTACAATTATTTACGCTCAAAACGATATCGTTTTGAGTGATTTGAGCCATTTGAGTCACAAAATTTTAAACTACCTAGCATTGTTATTTTTTTTTAAGTGATTAAAATGTACTTTTTAAAATAAAGGATCTAATATTTTAATCTCTGACAAACTGTCTGAATTTGCTTAGGGTGGTGTAGACAAATGCTGATAATAATAATATCAACAATGATTCATCCCCCTTTTCCCCCCACTCCCTTTGACCCCATCTCTCTCTCATTGGTTACATTTTCTTTTTTTTCCTACTCCTCCAATCACCACCCGCCACGTGGCAAAGGGGGGTGAGGGAATGACCCCAAAAGGGGGTCCCAAGCATTATTCTAATAATATATTATGATTTAAAATAAAATAAAAAAAATTGGGGATAAATTAATGTTAAAAAAGTTGTTAGATTATCTCTAACAATTGATGTCATTAAATTGATATTAAATCGAGGATATTAAAAAAAAATTACCAAATTGAAGACGCATTAGAGCTTTTATTAAATTATTATTTATAACCGTTCAATTTTTATCACCAAATGTCCTCGGAATGAGCACCTTTAAGCAAAACTTTGTGAAAAAAATATACTGGCTAGTCCACTAGTCAAACATCCGTCCGGTCATCTACCCGGTTGACCGGTATTTTGATGAAAGCTCAAAATCCTTCGTTAGAACATTTGATATTAAATGAAATTTTTACTCAAATTTAATAAAAAAAAAAATAAGATACACGGTTGAAGATGGTCTTATGTATTAGTAAATGTTAATAAAATATATATTTGCTATTAAAGTTCAGGTGAACTGTTAAATTATTGTGACTTTATTAAATTTTGTGATATTCTTATTCATTTTTTTTTTAAATTTTTTTAGATCTTCTAAGTACAACTTCTAGTGTACACGGACTTAACAAATTACGGATGGATTTAACTGATCTTTCTTAAGGTTTGAAAAAAATACATAAATTCGTTAGTTTTGGTATAATTATACTGGGAGCGGATTCTCTCTAGTTGGTTTTTCCACTGGAGGGTGTTGTTGGGCTTTTGAGGGCCCATAACAGAACCCGCATCGATAATTCGAACAGTTTAATATGTAAAACTTATCAAGTATTTCATTTTTATAAAAAAATTATATTGATTGGATATCGATAGTCACTTCTGATCAATGTGATTTTTTTTACAAAGATGAAATACTCAACAAGTTTTACACGATTCGGATTATCGATATAGGCTCCATGGTGGACCCATGAAGGCGCAACATCACCTTCCAGTTTGATATGGATTGGAGAGAAGCTTTTCCCAATTATACTAGTCTTCCTTTTAGTAAAGCTCAAGGGATCAGAATTAGTACAAATGATGTGGAGACACAACAATAATTAAAGAATCATATCCATTTCAATATAAAAGAAATGACAATCAGTGTGTTTGGTTTCAGTTTTTTAAAAATTGAATTTTTTATTTTTCGTATTTTTTTTGTTTTTAGTGAATATTTTTTAAATTTTAAGTAATTTTTTTTTATTTTTTTAGATGCACTTTACTTAGATGCATCTAAATAGTAAAATATTTGTGAAAAAATATTTTAAAAAATTAATAAATACACAAAAATACGAAAATGCACTAAATTTTCATATTTTTTGATATTTAGTGTATTTTTTAAAGATTTTTTCTCGAATAT